GGCTTGAGCCACCGCGCCCGGCTCTTTTTTTTTTTTTTTAATTTTGAGGTGGAAACTTGCTCTGTTGTCCAGGCTGGAGGGCAGTAGTTTGATCTTGGCCTGCTGCAACCACTGCCTCCCGGATTCAAGGAATTCTCCTGCCTCAGCCTCCTGGGTAGCTTGGATTGCAGGCATGCGTCACTATGCCTGGCTGATTTTTGTATTTTTAGTAGAGACAGGGTTTCACCATGTTGGCTGGGCTTGTCTCGATCTCCCAACCTTCAGTGATCTGCCTGGCTTGGCCTTCCAAAGTGCTGAGATTACAAGCATGAGCCACCACTCCCAGCCCCACTGTGACTTTTATAATATTCCCTAGGTGTGCCGAATTAGAAAAATTGTAAATAGTGATTTATGACACATTGTCATCATTAGTCAATACATGTCCTGGTTTTTTGTTTTCTTTCATTGGATTTGATTAGTATATTCCTTCATCCTCCTTTAAAAAGATTGTAATGAACACCTACAAACCTTTCACCAAGTACAAGAACATTTCCTGCTTCCTACATCTGTTGATGTGTTTCTTTCCTTTCCCTTTCCTATGCTGCCTCCCTTGCATACATAGCCACTTTATTTAAGATTTGTTATTCCATTGCTTATTCCGTAGGAAAATTCAGGTTTTTTTCCATAAATATAGGCTATTCATATAGTCTGTTTTTGCTTGTCAGTTTTGGTAATTTAAAAAATTTTAAATATTTGTCCCCCTTAGCTTTGTCTTCTGCTACTTTTTAAGATTGTTTCATCTTAAAATGGTAAATTTTATGTTTTATCCCAATAAAGTCAGAAAAATAAATTTAACATATCGACATATCTTTTTTTTTTTTTTTTTTTTTTTTTGAGACGGAGTTTTGCTCTTGTTACCCAGGCTGGAGTGCAATGGCGCGATCTCGGCTCACCGCAACCTCCGCCTCCCGGGTTCAGGCAATTCTCCTGCCTCAGCCTCCTGAGTAGCTGGGATTACAGGCACACGCCACCATGCCCAGCTAATTTTTTGTATTTTTAGTAGAGACGAGGTTTCACCATGTTGACCCAGATGGTCTCGATCTCTTGACCTCGTGATCCACCCACCTCGGCCTCCCAAAGTGCTGGGATTACAGGCTTGAGCCACCGCGCCCGGCCTACATATCTTTTTATAATGCCATTTAAAACTGATAAACCTCGGCCGGGCGCGGTGGCTCAAGCCTGTAATCCCAGCACTTTGGGAGGCCGAGGCGGGTGGATCACAAGGTCGAGAGATCGAGACCAACCTGGTCAACATGGTGAAACCCCGTCTCTACTAAAAATACAAAAAACTAGCTGGGCATGGTGGCACGTGCCTGTAATCCCAGCTACTCAGGAGGCTGAGGCAGGAGAATTGCCTGAACCCAGGAGGCGGAGGTTGCGGTGAGCCGGGATCGCGCCATTGCACTCCAGCCTGGGTAACAAGAGCGAAACTCTGTCTCAAAAAAAAAAAGAAAAAAAAAAAAAAACTGATAAACCTCAAAAAAAAAAAAAAGATTGTTACATAGTATTTTCGTGTATATATTTTGCTTTTTTTTTTGACCATTATAAAAAGTGTATTATGGTTTATATTGTCTTCTGAGGTTTCACTCTTTATTCAGCAGTAAGTTGCCAACATTCCTGATGCATATAGCTATAGTTCACTCATTTTCTTCCTGCTAGTCAGTTGCGTGAATATAACACAAGGTATTTATCCATTTTCAGAGAGAGCTTGAAAATGTTTGCTTATAGTTTTTTGTTCTCACAAACAGTGCTTCCATAAATTCATATATATGTGTCCTGAGGCTCATGTGTAGGAGTTTCTCTTAGTAACTTCCTTGGACTGGCATTTCTGAATTACAACCTAAGCGAAAGGAGAATTTTACTAGATGATGCTCTGTTGTTTCCTAAAATGGTTGTACACATTTCACTTCCCTCGTCTTATCGGAACAATTTCATAAAACAACATCGTCTTTAATACTTATATTGTTAGGTTCTTTAGTTTTTTCAGCCTAGTGAGTATAAAATGGCATGTCTCATTACGGTCCTGATTTGTTTTTCCCCCATTACCAAGAAAGTTGAACACTTCTTATGTTGATTGGTCAATGTATATCTCCTGTGAAATATCAGTGCATAGTATGTTCATTTTTCATTTTTGGGTAGAGTGAAGTTCCCAACCATAATTGTGCATTTATTTCTCCTTTCAACTGTTTTTGGATCATGTATTTTGAGGCTCTGGTGTTTGGCATTTTCAGATTTAGGATTATTTTGTCTTCATGGTCCCATAGTCTTCTCTTCGTCTTGTGATGCCCCTCTTTGTGTCATGTCATTTTCTTTGGTCTGTAGTTAGCTATCTGATACTAATATTACCATTTTTGTTTGCTTTTTTCTTTATCATATTTACTATAGTCAAATTAACTACTCTTTTCATTTATTAATGCTTTATATCTTGTTTAGGAAATCTTTTTCAAAAGATATTCATTTTTATTATATACTAAATGTTTTTAATGTTTGGCTTCTGACAGTTAAATCTTTTTTTTTTTTTTTTTTTTTTTTTGAGATGGAGTTTCACTCTTGTTACCCAGGCTGGAGTGCAATGGCGCGATCTCGGCTCACCGCAACCTCCGCCTCCTGGGTTCAAGCAATTCTCCTGCCTCAGCCTCCTGAGTAGCTGGGACTACAGGCACGCGCCACCATGCCCAGCTAATTTTTTGTATTTTTAGTAGAGACAGGGTTTCACCGTGTTGACCAGGATGGTCTCGATCTCTTGACCTCGTGATCCACCCACCTTGGCCTCCCAAAGTGCTGGGATTACAGGCTTGAGCCACCGCGCCCAGCCGCGACAGTTAAATCTTAATCAGTCCGGAGGTAATTCTGTATGTGGTATGAGGTAAGAATATTATTTCATTTTTTCTTATGTGGCAAATAATTTTTCTAGATCCATTTATTGAATGGCTCCTCCTTTTCCCGGTGGCCGTCTCTGCTGCTTCTATCATATATCAAAGTTACATATATACATTTCTGAGTTCTCTATTTCATTTTTCCCTTTCACCGTTTGTCTTAAATCTGTGCCTAATCACACTGCCTGAATGCATATAATTTCATCATAGTATTAATTCCTAATAGGGTAAGTCCCCTGCTTTATTCTTCAGAGTTATCCTGGTCTCCATATCAGCTGACTGATTACCATCCATAGTCAGCTTATCAATATCTATGAAAAACCCTATTGGGACTTTAGGAAGAATTGACACCTTTATATTCATTAATCTCTTTTCATATAGATTTTCTTTAATGTGTTAAGTTTTATAACTTTCTTCATGTAGATCTTACCTATTTTCTGTATGTTTGCTTAATCTTTATTCAGACACGGTGAACTCATTATGTTCATCCAGCTGCTTCTCACCCTCCACCCTCCTCACTTTTACACAAGTGAGAATCCTGAGAATCTGTTTCGCCTGTCTGCCTTTCCATCTTCAACTCCATCATTGTCTCATCCCATTCACATTATTCGGCAATCAGCATTCTCTCAAGACTCTCAACCCTTGTACATTCTGTTTTCATCTGCTGAAGTTTCCCTCCTAATTACTCTGAGAACTCCTACTCTGCATTTGTTTTTCTTGTTATTTTTTTTGTTTTTTGTTTTTGAGATGGAGTTTGCTCTTGTTACCCAGGCTGGAGTGCAATGGCGTGATCTCGGCTCACCACAGCCTCCGCCTCCTGGGTTCAGGCAATTCTCCTGCCTCAGCCTCCTGAGTGGCTGGGATTACAGGCATGTGCCACCATGTCCAGCTAATTTTTTGTATTTTTAGTAGAGACGGGGTTTCACCATGTTGACCAGGTTGGTCTCGATCTCCCTGGTCGAGACCTCCCAAAGTGCTGGGATTACAGGCTTGAGCCACCGCGCCCGGCCTTTCTTGTTTTTTTTTTTTGAGACAGAGTCTCACTCTGTTGCCCAGGCTGGAGTGCAGTGGCACTATCTCGGCTCACTGCAACCTCCGCCCCCTGGGTTCAAGCAATTCTCCTCCCTCAGCCTCCTGAGTAGCTGGGATTACAGGTGTGTGCCACCACACCCAGCTAATGTTTGTATTTTTTAGTAGAGACGGGGTTTCACCATGCTGGTCAGGCAAGTCTCAAACTCCTGACCTCAAACACCCACCTTGGCCTCCCAAAGTGCTGGGATTACAGCCGTGAGCCACCATGCCCTGCCCTACTCTCCTTTTTCTTTCTTTTTTTTTTTTTTTTTTGAGACGGAGTGTCGCTCTTGTTACCCAGGCTGGAGTGCAATGGCGCGATCTCGGCTCACCGCAACCTCCGCCTCCTGGGCTCAGGCAATTCTCCTGCCTCAGCCTCCTGAGTAGCTGGGATTACAGGCACGCGCCACCACGCCCAGCTAGTTTTTTGTATTTTTAGTAGAGACGGGGTTTCACCATGTCGACCAGGATGGTCTCGAACTCTCGACCTCGTGATCCACCCGCCTCGGCCTCCCAAAGTGCTGGGATTACAGGCTTGAGCCACCGCGCCCGGCCCCTACTCTCCTTTTTAAAGAAAGCTGACATAGCACCTTTTTTTGGTGCTGTGATCCAAGAGATCTACTGATCCCTCTCTGTCTCTCATCTGGGCCATGTTAAGTTTACCTTCCCTGCATTGTCATAGTGCCCCACAAGACTGCCTCTGTCAGAGCGTATTTATCACACACATTGTAATTACTAGTCTGCACACTCCCCCTCATTTGAAAGAGTGAGGAACAGCCTCCATTACAGATTCTTTGTCCCCTGCCCTTGCTTTTCCTTCTGGGTTTCCTTTTAAAATGTCAAGAGTCCAAGAATTAGGAAAGAAATTACAAGCCTGGATTTGAGAGATGTAAAAAATGCAGTAGGTATCAGAGACAGTTTTCACCTTCATTCTTCTGCTAAAGTGGTGATTTTGTTTGTTCTGTGTTGACATCACTAATGTTCTTTTATTCTTTAATATTGGATTTCCTTCAGGTGAAAAAGCAAAACCCGAGACTACAGAACCTACTGCTTCTCAGCTGGCCTTCTCTGAGGAATCCTCTTTCCAGGGACTACTGGCACAGAGATCCTCAAGGAATTCCAGGTTGGGGCAAGCTAGAGATGAGGAAAAGCTTAAAGAAATTCAGGAAGGGAACTTGAGGCCAGGAACAGACCCCCACAAACAGATATGCCCTGGGAAGTTGAGCTATAAACATGATTTGGAGCGAGCTGATAGTCTGGGTTTAAGGGTTTTACAGGAACAAGTCACTCCACAAGATGTTCTCCATGAACATGACACTCAAGGACCAGGAAAAGATCCCATGATTGATGCAAGGAATAACACTTACACATGCACGGAATGTGGGAAAGGGTTTAGCAAGAAGTGGGCCCTTGTTCGGCATCAGCAGATTCATGCCGGAGTAAAGCCCTATGAGTGCAGTGAGTGTGGGAAAGCCTGCCGTTACATGGCCGATGTCATTCGTCATATGAGGCTTCATACTGGGGAAAAACCATATAAGTGTATTGAATGTGGGAAAGCCTTCAAACGCAGGTTTCACCTCACGGAGCACCAGCGTATTCACACTGGAGATAAGCCCTATGAGTGCAAAGAATGTGGCAAAGCGTTCACTCACCGCTCTTCTTTTATCCAGCATAATATGACTCACACTCAAGAAAAGCCCTTTTTATGCAAAGAATGTGGTAAAACTTTTTACTACAGCTCTTCATTTGCTCAGCACATGAGGATTCATACTGGAAAGAAACTCTATGAGTGCAGTGAATGTGGAAAGGCCTTTACACACCGCTCCACATTTATCCAGCACAGCATGACCCACACAGGAGAAAAACCATTTTTATGTAAAGAATGTGGAAAAGCCTTTTGCCTCAATTCATCCTTCACTCAGCACATGAGGATTCATACCGGAGAGAAACCCTATGAATGCAGTGAATGTGGAAAGGCCTTTACTCATCGCTCTACTTTCATCAGACATAAGAGGGCCCATACTGGAGAGAAGCCCTTTGAGTGCAAAGAATGTGGGAAGGCCTTTTGTGACAGCTCTTCCCTAATTCAGCACATGAGGATTCACACTGGTGAGAAGCCTTATGAGTGTAACGAATGTGGAAAGGCCTTTACACATCACTCTGTTTTTATTCGACATAACAGGACCCACAGTGGACAAAAACCCTTGGAGTGTAAAGAATGTGCAAAAGCCTTTTACTATCTCTCTTCCTTCACTCGACACATGAGGATTCACACTGGAGAGAAGCCTTATGTTTGTAGAGAATGTGGAAAGGCCTTTACCCAACCTGCAAATTTTGTTCGGCATAATAGGATCCACACTGGAGAAAAACCCTTTGAATGCAAAGAATGTGAGAAAGCCTTTTGCAACAACTTTGCTTTAACTCAGCACATGCGAACTCACACTGGAGAGAAACCCTTTGAATGCAGTGAATGTGGAAAGACCTTCAGCCACAGTTCATCGTTCACTCACCATCGAAAGATTCATAGCAGAGTTTAAAAGATACAGCAAGGTCTTTTACAAGTGTGTTCATCTTTAGTGAACTCATAGTAGTGACATACCTTTCCTTTTGAATATAGCTTGAGGAAAATCTTTTGGCCAGAGAAACATCTTAATATCTGAAAATTCATACTAATGAGAAACATAATTGTCCTTGTGAAATCTTTTTATGGCAGGTAATCACTTTTCTTTTTTTTTTTTTTTTTTTTGAGACGGAGTTTCGCTCTTGTTACCCAGGCTGGAGTGCAATGGCGCGATCTCGGCTCACCGCAACCTCCGCCTCCTGGGTTGAGGCAATTCTCCTGCCTCAGCCTCCGGAGTAGCTGGGATTACAGGCACGCGCCACCATGCCCAGCTAATTTTTTGCACCTTTAGTAGAGACGGGGTTTCACCATGTTGACCAGGATGGTCTCGATCTCTTGACCTCGTGATCCACCCGCCTCAGCCTCCCAAAGTGCTGGGATTACAGGCTTGAGCCACCGCGCCCGGCAAGTAATCACTTTTCATTCAAAGAATTATGTTAAAGATTGACCCAGTTTAGAGCCTTACACTGTACCTGAGAATAACTGAGGGGAGAGACCTTGTAGTTAACATGCATTTAGGTAAAATGTTAGCAACAATGTTCCTCTTATTAATACTACAGATCCATCTCAAGCATATTTTAAAATAATGACAGATGGAGTAAACAATCTAGAAGAGAAAAGAAAAAGAAGTGCAAACTTGTTTTCAGTTTCCCTGTTGATGATAGTTTGTCATTTGGCAGGTTGGGGGATGGAGCAGGGAATGTCTCATCCCCTTTGTGTGTTTTACCATATATGTATATGCTAAAACACGCACTTTGAATGAAGAGACCCCCAAAACAGGCTTTGTGTGAGCAACATGGGTGTTTATTCACCTGGGTACTGGTGGGCTGAGGCCAAAAAGGGCGTTAGCGGAAGGACAGTGGGATAGGAATTGGTTTTATAGGTTTGGGGTGGGCAGTGGAAAGTTACAGAGTAAGATCAGTTACAGTGGTGGGGGTAGGGGCAAGGAGTATACATTACCATAAGTTCAGTTACAATGGCGAGTGAGGTAAAAGTAGTTAAGATGGTAGGGTAGGGTGAGGAGTATTCACATTATTGTAGCAGTTAAGGTGGCAGGTTGGGGTGAGAATTATTTGCATTATCATAATAACAGTTAAGATGACAGGGTGGGGTGAGCCATCTTAACCAGGAGAAGCTCCACTGGGCTATCAGGGATAATGGTAAATGCAGGCAGGGGTTGGGGGATGATCAGCCGAGGCAGGCAAGACTTCAGACTTTCTGAATCTGGGCTTGTACATGGAGGCCTGACAATATATATGTATATATGTCTCCAGAGCCAGAAGAATTGTGATGGCAGCTCTGCCAACATTTATTAGAAGTATTTATTGTTCCAAAATTGTCACCCCTACCCTTGAGGGAGTGTAAGTCTTTGTGAGAAATATAAAGGCTTGAGTCATGAAATACTTAACGTGTACATGCACACACATACATTTATATATATGCAGTGAATTGTTACTCATGGTAGTTAGGTTCTGTGAATTTTTCGTGCACACTGAAGTAGTGAATGCTGAATGATTGTTGCTAGGGAAAATACAAGGTTAGCTTCTGTGAGCCTCTGATCCAAACATTTTTATCAACCAGTCAACACATAACCTTCTATGGGTGTTTGTTTGTTTAAAGGCACCTTAACAGTGTTTTGTTTCTTAATTATAATTACAACAGAAGTGTAACTCATGACTGAATGCATCTTACTTTTTTTATTTGAGATGGAGTTTCACTCTTGTTGCCCAGGCTGGAGTGCAATGGTGCAATCTCGGCTCACTGCAACCTCTGCCTCCCAGGTTCAAGCGATTCTCCTGCCTCAGCCTCCCAAGTAGCTGGGATTACAGGCACCTACCACCACACCTGGCTAATTTTTGTATTTTTAGTAGAGACAGGGTTTCACCATGTTGGCTAGGCTGGTCTCAAACTCCTGACCTGAAGTGATCCACCTGCCTCGGCCTCCCACAGTGCTGGGATTACAAGCATGAGCCACCACACCCGGCCTGAATGAATCTTATTTAACACACATTTTCTCTTTAAGTCACATCACAGCCTTTTTGTATTTAGGGACACTAGACAGCATTTGAATACTGCTTGGGAGCCATTTTACATAGCAAAATTACCCCCAATAAAAACCACAAACATCCAAAAAACATGCCACTAAATAGACTGAAAATGATGCTACGTTATGAATGCTGAAATAAGAAAGTAAGCGTCACTTTTGATCTCAGCTAGTAACAGGCAGGCTTGGTGACTCATTTTTTTCATCACTCTACGTGTCTGCAAATAACTGCAAAAATGCAAAAACCTCAAAGTATTGATTTTGGAATTATAACAAAGAACTGAAGACCCCATTCTCCCTCACAGTTGCCACCTCTGCTGTAGCTGTGGCTGTACCTATACTTGAGCCTCATGGCTAAGAGCCTAGATGATGTATTGGGATTTCAGATAATTTAGTGTTTACATGACCCATTGGATGACCTTGACCATGCCACTTCTCCATGGAGTTGTGTTACTCTCTCTAAGAGTAGGAAGGTGGACATTAAAACAGTAACACATGGGAAAATGAACCAACAGTATGTTAGGTGACATGCAGACTCAGGAAGCATATAGGAGCCCAGAAGAGAGAACCACATATCCAGTACCTCTGGGGTGTCAAGAGCTTGGTCTGTTGGTGGGTATAGCTCAGTGCTAGTGTTGTTAGACAGAATAGAGATTAATGATGAAGTGGAGTATCAGGGCCACATGCATAGATAGGGCACCATAAAATTCTGATTTAATTCTAATTGCTATGTCAAGTCATGGGATGGCTTTAGCAGATACACAAAAGACTTGTTTCCTTTTTTCTAAAAATTTAGTAGTTGTATGTTTTACACTTGAGTCAGAATTTCTTTTTTTTTTTTTTTTTTTTTTTTTTTCCCCCCCCGAGACGGAGTTTCGCTCTTGCTACCCAGGCTGGAGTGCAATGGCGCGATCTCGGCTCACCGCAACCTCCGCCTCCTGGGTTCAGGCAATTCTCCTGCCTCAGCCTCCTGAGTAGCTGGGATTACAGGCACGCGCCACCATGCCCAGCTAATTTTTGTATTTTTAGTAGAGATGGGGTTTCACCATGTTGACCAGGATGGTCTCGATCTCTTGACCTCGTGATCCACCCGCCTGGGCCTCCCAAAGTGCTGGGATTACAGGCTTGAGCCACCGCGCCCGGCCTTGAGTCAGAATTTCTTAACCTTCAAAGCTGAGGTCATTAATTTGAGACCCTTTTGTTCTAATATAGGCCTTTAATACTATAGATTTTACTCCAAATACTGGTTTAGTAGGTTTCCATAAATTTTGACTTAATTTTCACTCAGTTTTAATAATTTTTAATTTCTCTTTTGATTTCTTCTCTGATCTATGAAGTTTGATTATGATCTGAAAACATACTTTGCATGACCTGAGCCCTTTTCTATTTATTGAGGTTTGTTTTATGACCCAGAATGTGGTCTGTCTTCGAAGAATGTTCACACATTATTACTGAAAATAATGTGCACTCTGATCTTGTTGGGTAGAGTGTCCTATAAATGTCAAGTAAGTAAATATGGTTGAGTGTTCCTCATGTCTTGAGTCCTGATTTTCTGCTTGTCCTGTCACTTATGTAGAGAATGGTGTTTTCTTTAAAAAAAAAAAAAAAAAAAAAAAAAAAAAAACATAATTATGGATTTGTCTATTTCTCTTTGCATATCTGTCATTTTTAAGTTCTTTTATTAGGTACATAAATATTTAGGTAATAGTCTTTGTTCTGAAGTTAACTGCGTGATATTAATACAGCCTCTCTAGTGCTCTTTTGCTTACTGTTTGAATGGTATATCTGTGTCTTGATTTTTAAATAATTTTTTATAGTTATATTTTAAATGGTTTTCTTGTAGGAAACATTACTGGATCTTGCATTTTTATCTACTTTGAAAATCTTTGCTAAAGCACATTTAATTTAGTGTGATTATATTGCTGGGTTTCAGTTTATCGTTTTGCCATTGGTTTTCTCTTTATTTAATCTGTTCTCTTTATTTTCTCCCCCCTCCCCACTTCTGCCTTTGGATTGAATGTTTTGCATGATTCCTGTGTTGTTAAAACTATTTAAATTGTGTGCTCATAGGACTGTCAATCTGGTGTAGGCACAGGAGGAAACATAGGAGAGGCTTGTAGCAGAACAAAGTTTATTATACTTACAAGTCCTAGAGAGACAGTCATTGTACACCAAAGGAACCAAGGGGGCACAGAGGAAGCATCAAAGAAGCTGGCTCAACTAAGCTGTTAGGAAGCCAAGAGAGAGAATGAAGATGGGGAAGTGCCTTTATTGGCAGCCAGGATGGAGTATACAGACAGCACGAGAGAACCTGTGGCAGGGCCAGCCCAATCAGACTAGTATAGCTTGCTGGGAGCTCACAGCCTGTTTGTGGGGATATCGAGGCAGCAGGAAAATACAGAGCTTTAAAATTTACATTACAGTTTGTGCTGTGGTGCCCTATTATTACAATACTAATCAGATGGACAACACGTGCCACCTGGGTTGTGGAGATGTTAAAGGTGCCTGGGACTGCATGGCTTAGCTACTGAAGGTAAACTTTAATAAAGATAACAGTTCAGAGGAGTCCTATTAGGCGTATGATGAGGGTTTGGTATCCAATTTGTAACAAGCCATCCTACTTTGTGGAAGAAAGCCAAGAGAATGGGCCAGGCGCCTCTGGATTTAAGAGAATCTGTTGGAATATTTGGCTAAGTCATGAAAAACCTTTACCACTTGACCTATTCCTCATAGTTGGCCTGTACCTGTCCAGAGATATTAATGTACATACAGTAGGAGGTATCCTGCGTCGCACAAACTCCTCTTTCCCTGGCTAATAGTCCAGAGCCAGCCTGTTATCTGTTGCCATTTGAGCTAGAGACTCATGGGCTTGTTGTATTAAGGACAGTATTTTGTGCAGCCTTTTAATAGGATCTGAAAGGGCTACCTAATGACGCTGCTTGGCAGTTATGCTTTGGTCTTATTTGACAAAGGCTGCTGTACCTGTGGCAAGTCAGTGGTGGCTCCTGTGCCTATGGCAGGTCCTATTAAGATAGG